GGGGGGGGGGTTCTGTATGAATATCAATTTCCGTACATAGTCGTTTTTAAATATGAGACGTGTGTAGGTGGATCCGTAAAGGAAATCGGTTTACACGTTTTCCTGGTAGTTAGCAACCTATAAATATATACTTGTCCAAGAAAGATCCCCCAAACTTTTGACAATAAAAAGTGAAAATTACAAAACAGAAAAGCTCCACCAATCTATGAGCTCCTGACTCCTGTTGAGGCAAAACGAAAAATACAATACACAGACAGTGCTGTATTGTAATTGGATACACATGTCCTTCGTTATGTGCAGGTCATGTATATCCAAATCCGCGTTTGTACCATGACAAACAAATAGTAGGGTACCACAGAGGATAAAGAACAAATTCGAGTCTCTATATTTAGAGTTTACACACATTTAACGGCATTTAGCTTCATCTTCACTGTTACAACGATCCGACCACTTAAAATATGACAAGTTATTACAGCATAAAGTTTAACTTTTTTAATTTTTAATTTTTCTAAACTGGCATTAGTGTTGCCATTTCTTCAAAGCCTCTTTACCCTCCTTGCTATCTTCCCTCTCTAGTTTCTCTCAATTCCTGCTTCCCATGACTACAACTCAGCATCCTAAATTGAATTTCCTGTTTCATACAGTTTTAATCGATCCCCCATAAGCATATGTTGAAGCATCTCTCCTCATGCCTCCAGGTCCGAATCACCACAAACCTAAGCTCTAACTTCGAACTTTGACTTGGGCCCTCCAAGCTCCTCTCACCACAACTCTGAGTGCTTGGCTAGCTACTCGGCCTGACTTTGACGCAGCGACAAGTCTGATTAGGTAGTAGAACCTCTATTTTTTTTTTTTGGGTCAAAGGAATGAAGATTTCATTACCTTACAAACAAGCCCAATACAACAAACAGAATAATAAAACAAAAGCACAACCAAACAAAATAAAAGTCCAACTATAATACACATAATTTAGGCCCAACACAACAAAAAACCCTAAGACACACACAAACCCTAAAATCACACCTAAGAACTAAGCAAGTGTCGCTGCCAGTAGTCCATGAGAACCGACAAAGGAGATCTAAAGAGCGTGGATTCAGGGAAGCAAGCCACCACCGTGCATCAAGCTCAAACGATCCATGGATTGGTCTAAATTTACCACTAAACTACAAAGACAACTCCCCCAGAGCAAAAGCTTAGATCTAAGGATGGGTTGTAGGGGATGAACAGCAGCAACAAACCAGGAGACAACCAAGCAGATCCTAGGGAAAAGGAAGGGGTTTAGCGTTAAAGAGTTTGTGGGAGGGGAAGAGAAATGGGTTGAAGGGGGATGGGTGGATGAGAGGAGAAGAGGGAGAGAGAGAGAGGTGAAATGGCTGTAGAGAAGTGGGAGACAAGAGATTGAGGAGATTTGGGCCAACAACAAGAAAAACAAAGTAGAAAAAGCACACCAAAATAAACAACAAAAAAGGAAAGTAAAAGCCACACTAGAGGGTGGCAGAGAAGCCATACCAAAGGGTGGCTGACAGGACACACCAAAAGTGGCAAAGAAGCCACCTCGAAGGGTGGCAGCACTGCCAGAAGCTCAGAAGATAAAGATGGGAAAGAGAGAAATTCTAGAGAGAAGAGGGAGCCTCTCTCTCTAAAGTTCTCTCTGAAAAAGCATTCAATGCAAGGTAGGTAGTAGAACTTGGGTTGAAGAATGCGGATGGAAGGCGAGGCCAAGTCGAAGTCTTTGTCACTAACATTGCCCATAAATTCAATTATGAAATTGTTGCATAAAATTCCAAGTTGAAAAGTATCCATGAAATTCCATAAATTATTTAGGATTTTGATTTGGGTTTCATATTTGAGTAGGAGAGATTGTTGGGAAGTGGTGTGAAATGGCAGGGAAGAGAGAGAGGAAAAGTTGGAGGGGAGAGAGAGACAGAGAGTTAACAACATGACTAATGTTAGTTTAGGAAAATAAAAAACTAAATTTTACCACAATTTTTTTTGTCATTCACTAGAGAGGGCAGGGGGGAATATTATATTCGGTTGCCTTGTTTCTTACATGAATTGAATCCGGGTGCAATTCAGGGGTAGGAGGGGGAGATGAAGGGAGAGAGTTTGGCTCACTTTTCCTGTGCGCTGACGTATGTGTGCCTAAATTTCACAATAATTGACATGTTTTATTTTAAGTTATTAGATCATTAATTATAACGGCTGAAATGAAGCTAAATGAGGCTCGGGATCATTGTACTGACAACAAGGACTTTTGAATTTAATTAGTTGATAGTTAAGTGTCTAAACATTAGGCTCTTAACTTTCTGGAACCTTCCTTTGTGCCTCACTTTATCATTTTTTGTGAACTTCGTCCACAAAACTATTAACATGCTAATGAAATGTGGGCAATTTAGTAATATTAGCCAAAAATAAAAATAAAATCCAAATTAAATATTTAAAACATATTTAAAATATTTAAAATTAAAAAGTTGGGACAAAAACCAAAGGGAAGTTGAGAAGTTTCTCAACAGGAAAAATGGGGAAGTAGCCGGTGAGGATGAGGGTGTTGTGTACACGTTGTCACTGCTTCAGATGGTGATATTTATGGTCTTTTGAAAGATCTTTCAACGAAGATCCATCACAAGATCTTCTAGATACCATGTTGGTCTGGTTCATTTGAATTCATACCACTAAGTTATTTGGGCTGGGTCGAATTGACCTATTTAATTAATCGAGCAATGTCTTGCTGGACCAATTATTAAAATCATTGATCCTGGCAGGCGTAAAGCCTAAATCCACATTGAAACAGGGCGTGCTTGTGCTCGTGCTAGTCCATTTATCAAAACCATTGATCCTGGCTCAGCGCAAAGCCCAAGAGTTTATGATTAAAACCAAAATAATACCATGACAACACATAAAGGTTTCTTAAATACACATGATGGACCCTAGGACTACCCTGGGGAGGCTATTGAAAAGCATACATCAGAAAGACATAAAGCTTGCTTAAATACACATGCTCTACCCTAGTACTATCCCGAGGAGGTTATTGAAACCAAACATAAGCAAAACGGAAATAAACAAAAAGTCCAAATTTTCTGCAAATTTCAGCCGCATCCCTTTTTCATTTTTCGGTTCATTTCTTCTTCAATCCATTTTGCCATTTGTTCTCCATTAGTCCCCTCCATCTAAGAAGAACTTGACCCTGAGTTATAGACTTATAGTTAGGATAAAGAACCACGTCTTCACGGAACTCACACAAATAAGCAATATTAAAAGTATTGGAAATTCCAATGGAGTTAAGTAATTCGATAACATAGGCATTATCATTTATTCATTTTAACACCTTGTAAGGACCATACTTCTTTGGCTTCAGCTTGCTATACGTACCAACAGGGAATCTCTTCTTCCTCAAGAACACCATCATAGAATCTTGATGTAGAACAAATGGCGGAAAGGATTAAAGAAAAAATGGACTAAAGATTGGAAAAGGGACATAGCTAGAATTTGCATATTTAGCATCCGAGCTCTGAATGGAGTGTATGCTACCTTTTCGGAAAGGAAACGGCCCCACGAGTAGTCCTAGGGTCATTTGGGCTTTGGAAAATAGCAAATACTATTTCAATTAAATTTAGACTTTTTGTTTATTTCCGTTTTGCTGATGTTTGGTTTTCAATAACCTCTTCGGGGTAGTCCTAGGGTCGAGTATGTGTATTTAAGCAACCTTTATGCTTGCTGATGTTTGGTTTTCAATAACGTCCCCGGGGTAGTCCTAGGGTCCATCATGTGTATTTAAGAAACCTTTATGTGTTGTCATGGTATTACTTTTGTTTTAATCATAAACTCTTGAGATTTCTCTCAATTTCTTGGTGGATTCCAGACCTTTGTTCCTTCTAGGTTTACGCTTGTAGGCTTTGTTTGCTTGTGCTGCGTCATAATGAATAGACGATAGTCCAACATGTCTTCATCTGTGTCCAAGCTCTTGACTCAAATAAGAATGAAATTTTTTCTGTTAATCCCCATTCAAATCATCATATCCTTTACTTAATTTTCAATTTCTTATATAGGCCTAAAATAAATTATATTAACGGGACCATATCTTAGATGCCATAACATTGATCCTTTAGTCTTTTTGCTTCCAAAACATAGTTTGTTCTTTTATATAGGCTTAAATGTTAAAATAATTTCTGTATTTTATTCATTTGGCCAATTTAATCCCTATGTTTTCAATGTGGCCAATTTAGTCCATGTGTTTTATTTTGTTGGCCAATTTTATCCATTCCTTTAAATTACCGTTAAAATTCATTAAAATTTTAAAAATTAATAAAAATAATTTTTAATTTCAGTTTACAAATAAAAACTATGAATAAAAAAATTAACATAAAAAATCTGGAAACCTAATAGTGTCCTTGTCTCATGCCGCCACCACCACCACCACAACCATCAGTTGTCCTCACCTGGGCTAGGGCCCAATTCTTTGACGGCTCCAAGAGATAACGCATTAAAGAAACCTCCAATTGCTCTACGATGAGTGTTTGTGATATTGAAAGGTCGAGCACTTACTGCAATAAATGTGGAGCTATGCAAAAGAAGCAGAAAAAAGAAACTGAAGAACTTGGTTGCCATGTTGGAATTGGACAATTAAAAAACAGAGAGAGAGAGAGAGAGAGAGATAAGAATAGGGTGGTGGCTGGGACTGCTCATGGTGGTTGTAGTGGTGGATTGGGTGGCGGTGACGACATGAGAGAAGACGACAGAGTCAGTTGGGTTTCCAGAATTTCTATTTTCTATTTTTAATTTATAAACTGAACTTAATAATTTTTTTAATTAATTTTTTTAAACTTTAATGAAATAGACAGCATTGACTAACGGAGTAAAACACAAGGATTAAATTGACTAAATTGAAAATATAGGAACTATCTAAAAATTTAAGCCTTTTATATAATATAGGCCTAAAGGACACAAATCAACATCACCTAGGGAAAAAAAATTGTTTGCTATCATATTTATATTAACAACCATATTGTTATTCTTTTTATCAAAAATAACACAGCTGTCATTTTCAAATTTAACCATGAAATCTCTGTGCACAAGTTGTCCAACACTTACAAAATTTGAGCCAAATTAGGAACATAGAGCACGTCATAGATAAGTTGATGCGTCCCGTCATACATGATTACTGCATCCGCTACCTATGTACCACACATCTTGTGCATCTTGATGCGAACTGAAGCATTTATAAAATAATTGCCCTTAACCGTCATCATTCTTAGTAAAATTTGCGTCATTACTTTTCTGGCATCTGTAGTCTCTTTATGAATAATTTGGTATCTTGCATCAGGTAGATCTATATGACACTTTGTACTTTTTTATGCCCGTAAATTTGTTGACAAAACGTAGAGGGATTCATCTTCCATTTTGATTATTTGAATTGATGTTGTTGCTTCCTTTGTTAAAGTTTCTTCGCACAAGATTTATGTTTCTTCCATTTTGATATTTATGGGATTCTCCTCTTTTCTACTTGTCGTCTTTATCCTTCAAAATACACATTGGACTGAAGAACTTGCTCCGCAGATTGGTCTTTCTTTTTAAGGGAGTTGACAAAATGAGGTATAGAGTGGGACATGAAAGGGAGATTCACTATTATACCTAATATAGGAGCCCAAATTATAAAAAAAAACCTATATGAAATAGACTTTAGAAACACACCCAAAGCTCATTTACAACATAACAAAAAAAGATTTTAACTTCTTTTAAATTACAAAACTGCCATTGATTTCTTAAAACAAACCTAACTCCAAAACCTCATAAAAAAAGCCCAAAACACTCAATAGGGCATCAAAGTAATTTAATAATCAAAATTAAATTTAATAGGGCCAGTTGTCAGTTTTTGGGTGTTTTTTGGGTTTGTTTATAGAAATTAAATGGTGTAGGGTTTATTTATAGTTTTAGTGTTAAGAATGAGTATATGACTAAATATCTCTACATGAAATTAAGGTTCTGGAAGTTTGAGTACAAAAAAATTGAGACATATATTCGAAGCCTAAAATAAAAGCAAGTGTTCGACCAATAAAAGAATAAAAGAAAGTGCTTAATCGCAAAATTCAAATTTACCGTAAAATTTGAATTTTTTTTTTCCCCGTTAGAAATTAAAAGAGGATTTATTGAGCAAATCTGAGGTTCAAATACATCCATGCCCATCTATCTTCACGGAATATCCTATTGTTCTGGGCAGATTTGGAGTTAGAGTTCTATAGTACAAATAGACATGCATTTTAAGAAGTACAAAGTCGTACTCACCCCCCAAATGCCTATTAAGTTTCTCTTATGTACTGCAGTGTAGTACAAGTTCAACTAGGTGAAGTACTCGGCAGTGCTTATAACAACCACCCATGAGGAACACTTGTGGCATCACCAAGTTCTCCGCAGAAGCCTAATGGTAGTGGAGCCCCACAGGAGCGATCTGAGATCACATGTATGCAGCAACAGCAGAACCCAAGAGGGCCGTCATTCGGTCCTGCTGTTCTTTGCATTTCACGTGTTCTCAGGTCGCCCCTGCAGGGCTTCCCTCTACCGCACAATCGCGCGCACTTATAATTTGGTGAGATAAAACAAGTAGATATAGTCCCCTCCCCTCGCGTGGAAGTCTTTCTAAGAACAAATATTGGCCTTGTCTCAAGGTAAATACCTATTCCTTTTTAAATTTTCTTTTCTTCAAAAAATAAACATGAATTTGGAAGCTATATTTTTCAATATTTTTTATTTTCATGATATAGCTTCGATGAAATAGGCTTCTCTTCCCATGTCTTCTCTGGTGATATTGGTAAAGATTATGGTATTGAATACAAGCATCTTATAAACACATTTATACTCAACCGAGGTAAATAGTTTAATTTCAGCAAAAATAGCTACAATATATATATACCAATTTTGACGAAAGATCATCAAACAACTCAAAGGTAAAGTTTGACATCCTAAACCTTACTATGAAATGGAATGGACATAAACAAGGGTTTGACAAATATAGAACCGAATTAGGTTGAGGAAAGAAGTTAGGATTAGAATAAATCAAGGGTTTCTCATCCCTTCTAATACAATAAACAAGTTAGAATTATTTAACTAATTATCGTTGCGTAATTAGTAGTAAAATCGAATATATTTGAGGAGAATTTTGTCGTAGAAGCCTTCACAGGTTATTATGTTTTACAGGCTATTATCAGAAGGGAAATTCTATTGAGAACCTTCACGTTGTAAACGTACAATTTTTTCGTAACTTCCAGCTTTGGCCTTAAAAAAACATTTGAAAAAAAAAAAAAGAAGCCAAAAAACTTGCTGGTATGGGGGAGGTTCCCTTTTCTTCCCCAGTATATGTGCAGGATGAAGCAAACCTTGTTTGAGATTGTGTTAATTATTGTTGGGGCCAAATGTGTTTTTGCTCATGTTTTTGTTGAAGTACATCTTCGCTTCCCCAATCAAATGATGAACTTGGAAGAACATACCAAGATTTTCCCTCAACTTATATGCAGCTGAGGACTGGAGGAAGCACCATCCCTGGAAGGTCGTGAGATGGGTATATGCTTTTGGGCTTTTTGATTTTACTGAAGCCCAAATACCTTGTTTTTTTACCTTAAAAGTAATTTACTAAATAATTTAATCGAATATATATGCGATAGTGTTAAGTTGTCATTTACCTTGTGTCAAAAAAAAAAAAAAAGTTGTCATTTACCCAGTGAAAGAATGGTGTAGACTGTAATAACTCTGAACCAATCAATTTTCGAAGAAGAAAAATGAAACATAAGAAAAACGGAAGGCTTTTGTAGAAAAAAGCTTTCATGCACAGAGAAGGAAAGAGAAATCCTTTTGGTAAAGCAAAACCCGCAAAATCCTACCACAAAAGAGGTTGGTTAAATAGATTAACTAAATTCAACTTATTAAGATATGCAAATTTATTGGAGTATAGAAAAGTAAACACAAGGTCGATCCCACGAGGATTAGATAACTTGATTCTATAATATTTACCCCAACTCAATTTCCTAATTTAAATATAACTCAATGCTGCAAGACACAAGGACACATGAAAAGTTTATCAAGTATGGGATAAAAAAACACGCTTGAGCGGGTTTTCCCCTACATAAAAATGCTCGAGCTGGTTTTATCTAAGAAATAGAAGGGTGGTAATTGGTTACAAAAATGCAATTCGTGTCTCCTTGTTTGGTAATTGCACTACAAGTCTCGACTTGGCAGCAAGCCAAATCTGCTCAAAAAACACACACACATTGGGGCAATGATTGGCTCAAAGCAATGACGGATCCTGGATTTAAAAGTCAAGTAGGCGAAACTTACCTTAAAAACTCGAAGATACGAGTGAATTTCATTCATAAAAATAAAAATATACACCTAGTCAGAGGACGTAATGAGCCTTACCCTCAAATATGCATCTCTATACATAAATAAAAGCTTAACAAAAAAAAACTAAAAAAAATAGATAAATGCAATGCAACACAAAACTAAACTATTTAAATCTAAAACTTTACCCCAAATTATAATTTATTCATAATTAAACCCTAGAATACTCAATTTCAAATTAAAATTAAGATGCATACATTTATTTTAGGAAAAACCCATCAGAAGGAGATAATTAAAGAGAAGACAATAAGAAGAATACTTGTTGCCTTAGATATGAGAAGATGATGCTGCCAAAAGAGAAGTTTTTTTATGTGTTTGGGTAGGCATGGGTTCACTCCATCACATGGGCTGGGTAGGAGTAGCTTTGCTTACATATAGTTTTTTTTTTGGGTGAAAAAATTTGGGGTAGGTGGTTGCCTACCTTGCCCTTGCTGTAACGAAGGACTCGAATTGAAGAGCTTCGATGCATGCCTCAAATGGGTTTTCGTGGATCAGTTCAATGTATGGAGGACTGGTGTTTCATGGTCCATCTTCTTCGTTTTAGCCATTGGCGTGCCGCTTGTCTCACACTTTCTCCTCTCCTGCTCCGACTGCGATGAGAATCACAGCAGGCCTTACCATGTAGTTTCTCAGTTTTCACTTTCTTTATTCTCAGTGCTCGCATTCATCAGCCTCTCCTGCTGGACTCGCAAATATGGTTTGAGGAGGTTTCTCTTCCTTGACAAATTATATGACGCAAGTGTGAAGGTTCGCCATGGATGTAAACAACAATTTCAGGTATATATAATTAGTTGATTCAAAACAAAACCTTAGACAAAATCTTGAAACTTTGAGCTTCTAATCTCTATGTTTTTACGATTGCAGAATTCAATGAAGCTCCTCTGCATGATCGTCTTCCCCTGTTTTGCAGCAGAGTGTCTCTATAAGCTATGGTGGTATGTCTCAGGAGCAACCGAATTACCGTATTATGGGAACATCTATTTAAGCAGCACGATTTTGTGTACGTTGGAGCTGTGTTCGTGGCTTTATCGAACTACAATTTTCTTCCTGGTGTGTGTTCTGTTCCGGCTTATTTGCCGTCTTCAAATACTGAGACCAGAAAATTTTGCCCAAGTTTTTCAAAAGGAGACCGAGGTTGAGCTGATCTTGATGGAACACCTCAAGATCAGAAGGAACCTTCGGCTGATGAGCCATAAGTTTCGAGTATTCATCTTGCTCTCTCTAATTATGGTCACAGCGAGTCAGCTCATTTCTCTGGTCATGGTAACTAGGTCTAGTGCTCATATTAATATCTTCAAGGCTGGAGAGCTTGCGGTAATTTTCAATCTTTCGTTCACTTACATATATGACAATATCTGATTCAAATTATATATATATATATATATATTGCCATTTTTGTTTTCTGGTAATGTTGCAGTTATGTTCCATTAGCCTAGTTATTAGCCTTTTCATTTGCTTGCGAAGTGCAACAAAAATAACACACAAAGCGCAGTCGATAACGGGGCTTGCTGCAAAGTGGCATGTCTGCGCCACAATACAGTCTTTTGATTACACAGAAAGTGAGACTCCAATGGCTCCGATTTCTTCAGCTCAAGTGTTTCCTTTTGGTGCTGATATCGAATCAGAAGATGACGAAGCTGGAGAAGATGACGATTTGGACAACACCAAGCTGGTGCCAATGTAAACTCACACAATCTCATTCCAGAAAAGAGAAGCTCTAGGTTGTAGTAGGAACAGATCATCATCTTCAGTGACAGTGTTGAATTTATTTATTTATTTATGTTTTTGCTTCTTTCTATTTTTTTGTAATGATAGCGCGTGGTCGCTTTTGCAGTGAAATATCTGGAGAATAATAGAGCAGGGATCACAGTGTTTGGGTTCACGGTGGATAGAATGTGGCTTCACTCTATTTTTGCAATTCAACTGGCCCTTCTGCTCTGGCTGCTCAACAAGACAATTGGTATTTCTTGATTTTTTTTTCATTTCTGAGACACAGAGAGAATCAGAGATTAAGTTTTGCATTGATGCTAATCTTTTCTTCTTCTTTTTCATTACAGGGTAGTTAACATTGTACCGAGTATAATACCTAGCAATGTAGATTTTGGTGAGTGAAATTTTCTCATGAAAATGGTATATCAGTAAGGCTCCTGGACAATGTCTTGACATGCAACAGTAACTCTCAGTCTCATTCAAACAAGCCTCCACAGCTGAAAACACATTTGGTGCTGATGGGGTTGGTGGGTTATTTTTTATTGGTAATAAAAGTCATATTATTTCAGAAGAGTTTGGAGGCTGCATTTGGAGTTTGGAGTTTTATTTAGTTTTTGCCATCTGATGCATGTCAAATTTTATAGCCTTGTAAAAGGATACAGCTTAATTGCTTTTTAGTTGGGAGCAGATACTAAACCAAGTTAAGAAAAAAGAGAGAACAATTGGCGAAATGATAGCATTCTTTTACTTTATAATTGCTTTTCAATACATATTTTGGATGCACAAAAGGAATCAAACACAAATTAATTTTCTGCACATCCCAAAACATCTGGCTTGCAGCTAATCATTCTCCGAGTTTTATTTCATACCATCATCATGCACACCCTTTAGAACAGAGGAACTCTGCACATCACAAAAGTAAAAAGAACACATTAGTCCAACCAAATCATGTATATCATACGAACAAAAAATCTGTATGATATTCTTAGATACATAAATAAGAAGAGAGAGAGAGAGAGAGAGAGAGAGAGAGAGAGAGAGAGAGATTACTTGCTGCAGTCGACGGCGGGGTCAAGAGGTACGGGCATGGAGACCTTGCAGTATTCGGGCATGGCCTTAAGTCTGCCTGGGTCAATCTTCATCCCAGCTGCAGCTTTTTTCAAGCATTCACAGAGGCTCCTGCGGATTTCAGTGGAGGAAGCCTCAGAAACAAGGGTTTGGACACCAGCACAACAAGGAACGGCAGGAGTGCCTGGGCCAGAACCCACCAAGTATGGCTCACAGGGCATCAAAGTCATTAGGGCCCCTTGGCATGTGACCCCATTTGCAGGACATGCATTGTTCAAAACCATAACCACCAACCCAAAAACTATCAGAGACCAACAACCCATCAGTTTCATCTCCATACTCTCTCTTTCTGAACAAAGGGAAGAGAAAAACACAAAAGCAATATAAAAACTGCTTGCTTGTTGGATATTGTGAAACCTCAACTCACACTCACTGTGGATTAGAGCATAAGATGCATGCCTTTCTTTATAGGGCAGGCACCACCACGTTTTTGGTACCTCATTTATTGTGCAGTTGTGCAGTCCAGATTTTTTTGATTCTTCCTAAGGTCCTGTGTGTAACTGTCAGTCAGACCAAAAGAAAAACTGGTTTAGATTATGTAAAACCACCGGCGCACTAATACAGGCCATTGTAAATACCATTAACAGCCTTATTCAGCCTGTGTTTCTTTAATCAGTCTTTGTTTTTAAGTTTGTTTTTTGGGTTCAAAATATGATTTCTGTGAATTGTGAAGTTTGATTTAGAGACATTTTCGACAAACTCTGCAGATTTCCAGTTGAGGGCCTTATTGGCATGGACTACACTTAACATCTTTAGCGTGGTTTTATTTGTTATTTTCTCGGAAGAAACGTGATCTTTGCTATCTGTTAACCGCCTTCTAGTCTTGAAACAAACAAAACATACTGTGCTCAAAGCGTGATTATATTCCATTAAATATATTTATGGGAGATTCACTATTATACCTAATATAGGAGCCCAAATTATATAAAAAAAACCCTATATGAAATGGACTTTAGAAACACACTCAAAGCTCATTTACAACATATCAAAAATGCTTTTAACATCTTTTAAATTACAAAATTGCCATTGATTTTTTTAAAACAAATCTAATCCCAAAACCTCATAAAAAAGCCCAAAACACTCAATAGGGCATCAAAGTAATTTAATAATCAAAATTAAATTCAATAGGATCAGCTGTCATTTTTTGGGTTTTTTTTGGGTTTGTTTATAGAAATTAAATGGTGTAGGGTTTATTTATCGTTTTAGTGCTAAGAATGGGTATATGACTAAATATCTCTATATTTAAAGGGTAAAGCCGCACGGCTATACTATTTATTAAAAACAATTTAAAAAAGGACCCCGGGATAGCCATGCGGCTATACTATTATTATTTTTAGAAATTTAGTGAAATACCCATTCCTAGACATAAAACTATAAATATACCCTATACCATTCATTATATATAAACACACCCAAAATAAACCCAAAAATCAACAATTGTATATTTTTTAATTTAATTAATAAGATCAAATACCTTTATTACCCTTTTTAGCATTAAAGTAGTTTTGGATCTCGTTTAGAATCTATAGAATGTAGAGAACATTAAAATTCAACAAAACCACTCCCTGAGGTCTGAAGCCTCAAGCCCCTCTCCTCCTTCAAACCCACATCTCTCCTCTGTTCTCTCCCTTCTTCCCTCTCTTTGCCTTCAAAGTAAACCAAACAGTCTCAGAGCCATGGACCAACACAAGACTGACGACAATCTCCGTTACGTCGGTGGCCTCACACGTGTTCTCGCCGCCGATGCCTCCATTTCTTTTCCAGGTTTGTTCCATCTGCTTCAATTCATTATTTTCCTTTTCATTTTTTCTTAATTTACTTGAATTTTGACTCGATTTCAGTTTCTTCGTTGAATTTGGTGCTAATTTCCATTTTTTCGATATGAACAGAGCTAATGGTTAAGCTCACGGAGTTCTGTGGCTACTCTGTAGATTTGAGGTGTCAATTGCCGGACGAAGGATTTCAGAATGCCGACGCCGGTGGTGATTGCGAGAAGAACGAAGATGAAGACGATTTCTCTTTCACCTGCACCAATCCTGACGAATCACCAATTTCCACCGACGATATATTCCAAAATGACCAAATCTGTCCAGTGTTCCCGATTTTCAACCATGCCGACTACGACGATACTTCCACAGCCAGAGGGGCTGCTGCTTCGTCTTCCTCTCTGCGGTCGCCATTGAAGAAGCTCTTATTTGAAGAGCTGGATACGCCGACCTCGGCAACGTCGTTTTACAACTCAGGAGGTGAACTCGAGTCCTGATCCATGAGATCAACCAGCTTCTGAGTTTGATCATCAACACCTATTATAGCAACAAGGAGATCTTTCTCCGTGAGCTCATCAGTAACGCATCTGATCAAAATAATCCAAGCAAAGATGTGGATTTGAAAATGACTTAATTGATTATCTCAGTTCACTTAAGGTATTAATATAACAATTTATGTGGATCATTGGTTGATTTTATTCATTGTTTTGGTTTTGTTGCCTTTTTGTTACCTTATATCTCTAGTTTCCAGTTGTTTTGATTTTTAATGATGCTAATTCAAATTTAACGTAATAATCTTCATCTTGTTGGTTGACTGTCAACAGTGGCCCGAGTTTTCTGTTAATTTTCCTAACTTGGGAAGCTTCAAAATCAATCCGTCATTTTTCAAGAAGTTTGATTACAGCAATGCAGCAGTGTGTTTTCTATTCCTTGAACTTTATATATATTGGTTTTGTTTTGTTGGGGATAGTATAACGTCAAAGTTAGTATCTTCATCCGTGTGTATAATTTTCAGGTGAGGTTAATTGCATCTGTCCCTGGATATCACACGGGTACGAACATGAAAAAGTGGGGACATATGAAGCTACGCACTATTCTCCAGGAGTGCACTTTTGATAAAGAGTTTCGGAAATCTCCTCTTGCTTATCAGGTACGGGGACACAAGCGGTTGACTCATATAATGTACGATGTCAATGCTGAGTGTTTTTCTTTGATTAGGTGCAAAAATTGAGCAATGTGTTTATTCCAAGATTCTGGACCTATCAGTATAGATATATTGCATTTGATTTCTGTCCAATTTTTGGGATTCGGGACTTAGCATTTTCAATTGATTTTCATCTATTGGTCTCTTTACTTGCATAATATATAGAATGGAATAATGACTAATGCGTTAAACTTTATGATTTTCATCTATTGGATTTTCTGATTTCGTTCTAATTTGTACTTAGATATTTGTTTGAGTTTTAAATTGTGATTTTAATTTCTTTTTATTTATAATTTGGATTGATTTCAGATTCTGTTTGGTTGTGGATTTGCTGTTTGAGCTGTGGTTAGAAATTTGTGATATTCGATTTGGTTTTCATATTAATTGAGGTATGCTTTTTTAGTTGAATATGAGATATTCGTGTTTTTTCTGTTTATCACTGTAAAGTTCTAGTATAGGGTAATAACACTGCTTGTTTGCTATGAAATCCTATTTCTAATGCATGTCTACCACTGTAAAGTTCCAGTATAGGGTAATAACAATGCTTGTTTGCTATGAAATCCTATTTCTAATGCACGTCTACCACTGTTAAGTTCCAGTCTAGGGTAATAACACTGCTTGATTGCTATGAAATCCTATTTCTAATGCACGTCTACCACTGTTAAGTTCCAGTCTAGGGTAATAACACTGCTTGATTGCTATGAAATCCTATTTCTAATGCACGTCTACCACTGTTAAGTTCCAGTCTAGGGTAATAACACTGCTTGATTGCTATGAAATCCTATTTCTAATGCACGTCTACCACTGTTAAGTTCCAGTCTAGGGTAATAACACTGCTTGATTGCTATGAAATCCTATTTCTAATGCACGTCTACCACTGTTAAGTTCCAGTCTAGGGTAATAACACTGCTTGATTGCTATGAAATCCTATTTCTAATGCACGTCTACCACTGTTAAGTTCCAGTCTAGGGTAATAACACTGCTTGATTGCTATGAAATCCTATTTCTAATGCACGTCTACCACTGTTAAGTTCCAGTCTAGGGTAATAACACTGCTTGATTGCTATGAAATCCTATTTCTAATGCACGTCTACCACTGTTAAGTTCCAGTCTAGGGTAATAGCACTGCTTATTTGCTATGAAATCGCACGTCTACCACTGTAAAGTTCCAGTATAGGGTAATAACACTGCTTGTTTTCTATGAAATCCTATTTCTAATGCATGTCTACCACTGTAAAGTTCCAGTATGGGGTAATAACACTGCTTGTTTGCTATGAAATCCTATTTCTAATGCATGTCTGTATTTGTTAAGTTCCAGTCTAGGGTAATAACACTGCTTGTTTGCTATGAAATAATATTTCTAATGCATGTCTACCACTGTAAAGTTCCAGTATAGGGTAATAACACTGTTTGTTTGCTATGAAATCCTATTTGTAATGCACGTCTACCACTGTAAAGTTCCAGTCTAGGGTAATAACACTGCTTGATTGCTATGAAATCCTATTTCTAATGCACGTCTACCACTGTTAAGTTCCAGTCTAGGGTAACAGCACTGCTTATTTGCTATGAAATCGCACGTCTACCACTGTAAAGTTCCAGTATAGGGTAATAACACTGCTTCTTTGCTATGAAATCTTATTTCTAATGCATGTCTACCACTGTAAAGTTCCAGCTTAGGGTAATAACACTGCTTGTTTGCTATGAAATCCTATTTCTAATGCATGTCTACCACTGTAAAGTTCCAGTATGGGGTAATAACACTGCTTGTTTGCTATGAAATCCTATTTCTAATGCATGTCTACCACTGTTAAGTTCCAGTCTGGGGTAATAGCACTGCTTATATGCTATGAAATCGCACGTCTACCACTGTAAAGTTCCAGTATAGGGTAATAACACTGCTTGTTTTCTATGAAATCCTATTTCTAATGCATGTCTACCACTGTAAAGTTCCAGTAT